AATGAGAATACCAGAAAGAGTTATGAATGTATCACAGAGGCTTCTGAGAGGGTTTGTTGATGGGGGTTAGCTAAGAGAGAGGGAGGGTGAAAAATACATCTGAAAGATTAAAGGGACATTCAAAAGCACAGAGAGAAAAAAAGAACGTAGTCATTTAAGGAATCAGAAGTAGTTCAATGTTACTGGAGCCTATATCATGATGTAGAAGTGTCATTAGATGAGAATAGACAGTAAAGAGAAACCCAGATCATAAACTATCTGGAATTTATACTGAGGGTCATGGATGACTGCTAAAGGGTTTTATATCAGTCATTTCTTCTGTACCACTGCAGATATACCTGGGCTGACTTGTCTCTGGGACCCCCAGCCATTTTTTCTCTCCAACCAACCTACCACTACAGAAATCAACTCTTCATGGGTTCAGAACAATTTACTCAGGGACACACAAACTATGTTCACGGTTGAAACAAACCATGGTGTTTCAAGCCTTCCCTGAGTGCTTTTTGCCTCACACTCCATAGCTTCCCTTTTGCAATTGAAGCATGATATGTCACAGGAAATGATTGGTGCCTCTGAAATGCAACAACCAAGAATGTGGGGAAGGTTAGGCCCATCCTTGGAAGACAAGAGTACAAATGGATATGTCATTCCACACATTTAAAGCCACTAAGTATTAAGAAATGAAAATTAACCTGACAAGTTCTTAAATATGTTCCATCTTCCTACCTTAATAAAAATGTAATGGCCAAATTGAAATAAAAATATTCAGACTCTTTGTAGTTTTGTACTTGTATCAGTTATCTATTGCTTTGTAACAAATTAGTTCAAAATTTAGCAGTTAAAAGCAGTAAGCATTTATCACCTCAAAGATTCTATGAATGAGAAATCAGAAGCAGATTTGCTGGGGGTTGCACATTAGGGTGTCTCTTGGTGCTATAGTCAAGGTGTCAGTCAGAGCTGCAGTCTTCTAGAATCTGAAGAATTCACTTCCAAGCTGGCTCCTCTATGGATATTCCCAAAACGCATCAATCCCATGCTGATTTTTGGTGAGAGGACTCAGTTTCTTGCCATGAAGCTGCCTCTATAGTGCTGCTTGAGTATCCTTGTAATGTAATGTCTGGAAAGCAAATGATCCAAGAAATAGCCATAGAGAAAGCTACAATGCATTTAGGTAATAATCTTAGAAGTCACCTACCATCACTTCTACCACATTCTATTGATTAGAAGTGAGTCACTAAATTTAGGCCACATTGAGGCTCTAATGGAAATCTGTCAAAGAATTTGTAGATTTCTGAATTTTAAACCACAAAAGCATAAAAACATATTAGACTGTCCAGGGTTTATGAGCCCACTTGCATTCTCTCTCTACCATTGATTTGCTCAGCAGCTTTGCCCTGTGAGTGGTCTCATATGTACATGTATGAACATTCAAACCATATATTCAAGCTTGGTCCATGCACCCCACCAACAGCTGTTTCTTGGCTAATTCTCAGGCTTGGAGTTACAGACACCAATTTTGTAGTGTCTCATGGGAATATAGACTAGGGAAAGGGACATATGCCAGCTGAAGAAGAATTGTTGTTGGAGATTTTGGGGCAGAGAGTTCCAGGTACCCAGAGTGTGTGTGGTCAGAAAAGGAGAGCATGCATTCTGACTGGGCATGTATTCTGTGTAGACAAGTCCCCCAGGCAAGTGAACTCCTCAATTTGTGGGTGAAGGCCCAGCCACAGAAGGTAGCAAATGGTGTGGAACCATATACACTGTAGGAGCCAAACAACAGTCCCTTATGCTTATATCTAAGAACAGTGCTGGAATAAACCTTGACCAGTGAAATACAGAAAGTGGAAGATATTCTCCTCTCTTATGTGCCCCAGGAAGAATGGCTGTGCAGCCCTATAATTAATACAGCTTCTGAAATCTATGAACATAAGCAAACAACTGCTCAAGTTGCATACCAGCCGGTAGCCAGCTTTCACCTTTATATTGGCTCTCCTTTCTTCCCTCATTTCACTTTATATTTGTTTCCTCACTTGAGCTTCCTATAGTTGCATTCCTTAATAAGACTATAGCAGATTATTTTTTGTGTGTCAGATTCTGCTTTCTGAGACCCCAAGTTAAACCAGGTTTTAAGCAGAGGAACTACATAATCAGATTTTTTCCTGATAGATATATGCATTCATTTATCTATTTAACAGATATTTCCTGAGTACCGTTTAGAATGAAAGCAACGTGCAAAGTGGTGAGGATAAATAAATAAGACAGATATGGCCCTACCTTCATGAAGAACATAAACTGGTGGGGAGGGAGTGAGGGGCAGCAGGGAGGTTAGCTGGTAGTTTCTATAGAATGCAGTGTAGGATGCAGTGGAAAAAGGCAAGACTGTGCTGGAAACCATAAAAGGGATACCTAACCCATTCTAAGCTGATGACAAGTTTCCCAGAGGAATAAAAAGACTCTGGATTGCAAAAGCCTGGTAATTAGTGACTGTGTTCTTCCAGCACCCACATTCATTCCCCTCTTCCTTCTTTTTCATCTATATTTACCTTTTGTTACATCTTCCAATATGCCAAGCTCTCTCTCACCTATGTTGTTTCTTTTATCTGAAATATTTTGCATCATTCCCCTCACCTATTGGTTAATTACAATTCTTTTATTCTCTAGAGTGCTGATAGAAAGTTCTAGAAAAATGAGCAAAACCCATGCCACAGACGAATTTATGTGCCAGTTTAAGGTCTTTGGACTTCATCCAAAAGAGCGAATAAAATTGTAACATTAGATTAGCTCTTTGGAAACAGTTTTCTGGTTACAGTACAGTGAAATTGAATGAAGTAAGCCCAGAAGCAGAGAAAGCAGATGAGACAGGTGAGAGATATTAACAGGTGAGTTGAGGATTTTAGCAGTGAGAAAGCAAGAATTAGAGGCTTTGATAGCCATTTTGATAGTAAGAATAGGAAAAATAAAGGAAAGAAAGCAAAGAGCAAAGAAAAGTTTCAAAGTCATACCCAGTTTGTAACTTAGAAACCTAAATAGGTGGTGGGCAATGTAATGGGGTTTGCATTCCACTTAAAATCAGGCAACCCCAACTGAGTTAGGGAACACAGAGAAAGGATATGTTTCTGAGAATTACAAAAAAGAATTAGAAACATTTCCACCCCCTTCCAAACATGTAAGAATCACTTAGGAACTGACTTCGGGTTAGAAATTTTTGAAAAATTGAGGGCACTAATCACTCAATCCTCTAACTTTAAGCAAACTGAGGATAAAAAGGAGCCAAAAGAAGATTTAAGCACGACTTATGATTAAAAGTTATGAATAGTATAATATAGTACACAGTAACTCCAAAAGAATGTCTCCCCAGAAAAAGCAATGAAATCCAGAAGTAAAAGAAAAAACTAAATAAAACAGGGCTTTTCATTCTACTTCTCCCTCTCTGGCCATTCTTCCTACGTGCTGCAAGTGTAGACCTTAAAAGCCAGTTACACAGGATTAGATCTACACAGAAGATACACAGCTGTCAAATATCAGGTAGAATGGCTCCTATTGATGGTATGACCAACAAAGAGAAACAAAGACAGAAACACAGACACAGCTTCTATCTGTAACCTGAGTTTTAAATAAAAAGATCATTACAGTTGTTACGAAGATAATAGTTTAAGGAGAAAAAAATTCTGGAAATAGATTTTTGTGGTGGATAAGATAGTGTTGAAACTGAAATCATTAGTGGAAAAAGAAAGTATTAGAATTGATTGGGATTGTCAGGACTTAAGAAGTGGGTTTTAGGACAGAGAAGTGTTAACTGTAGTGTCAAGCCCGAGATAGTTGTACAAGAGACAGCCAAATGGAAACATGTGATTGTGAACATGCTTGTGTGTATGAACGCATGGATAAACTGGAGGTGTAGTGTGTGTGTGTGTGTGTGTATACATATACACACACACAGACATGTATATATACATATACACACACACAGACATGTATATATATTTTGTCTGGAGGTCAAAGTAGTGGTCAAAAGAAATATCTGGGAAGATAGCAAACACTGTAGAATAGTTGACTCAAATAGCATATTGAACCCTATTTTATCATGATCTTCTACTGTAGAAACTGTTAAAACTAAAACTTGATTTCTTACCCTCCAGTGAAAGTATGAATGAGTGCCACAGTTATGGCCACTAAGGCATAAGAAAAATTCTAATGTGCCTCCTCTTCCTTTTCCTTCTTTTTATAAAGTTCAGAACTTAGACCTAAAGCCTGAACTCTAAAATGTAAACCATAGGACAAAATACTACATACTGTGAGTGGGGAACCAGAAAGACAGAAAGGGAAACATCGAGCTGGTGGCATAAGCCCTGCCTGCCTTCCTTCAAGACCTTATATTATATAATGATAATGAGTATAACAATAACAACAACATATCCCCTCTTACTTAAGCCACAGTAGCAAAAGTGTGTGTTGGTTAGTTTGTTTATAACTGAATGTATTCTTGACTAATACAGAGAATCATTAGAAAGAAACAATGATGGAAGCACTAGTAGATGAAATTATACAGGGAGAGTTATAGAGTAAGATAAGATGACCTAGGCAGAATCAATCATGTAGGAACTAATATTTAGGAAAGAAGTGTCTAAATAAAAATAGTATTAAGAAATAAACAGAGAAGTAGAAACAAGTTGGTAGGCTGTGACACCACTGAATCTCAGTAAAGGTAGCATGCTTTAAAGCAGAGAGGGTTGTATGGAGTTAAGTGATGCAGACAGCGAAAGAAAGAAAACGTAAAACAGTCATTTACACTTAGCAACTAGTATTCCACTGGTGACCTTGGAAAGAGCAGTTTCAGTGAAATTTAGGCAGTGGAAGCCATTTCACAGCACATAAAAAAGTTGAACAAAAGGTGAAGAAATAGAGAAAAAGAGTGTACACATCTCTTGCAAAGACGGGGAGAAAGAAATCAATAGCGGTTGAGCAATGTAGATTAGTTGAGGATTTTATTTTATTTTATTTTTTCTTGTCTATTTCATAGATTTTTTTTTAAAGTTCAAAATACATACATATATACATACACATGTACAGACACAGGCACACCCAGAGTTGCTGCTGTTCTGCCTCCATTTAGAATGACAGGGGCCACTCAGGAGACAAGGAGCTGACCTCACCCATGGGGGTTTCAGACTTGATAAGAAGGAAGTCTCTGCTCAGAAGCTAAACTGGAGGTGATGGCAAGCCTCACCCCGATCCCTGCCCAAGACCACCCCCTGCAGGACAGGCCTGACAGGCGCGTGGCAGGGCAGAGCATACCTCAGTGGGAGTCACAGGCCTTCTGTTCGGTGGCAGCGTCCACTGCAGAGGCTAGGCTGTCTTCCTGACCTTTTTCAGTCTTTCACGGATCAGCTCGGCAATGGCCCTCTGAGTCGTCTTTTTCAGTTTCTCCAGCTTCTTGGCCACATCTCTCTTGAGGTCCCAGTCAGGATTCCGAGGAGCGAGGTTGGCCAGATCCACCTCCTCGATGACGGGCTCGGGCTTGGCAGCCTCCAGCTGCTCCTTCACCTTCTCTTCCACGGCAACCGGTTTGGCCTGGGGCACCCTCCTCTTCTTCAGGTCCTCATCCTCTGGGACATAGTTCCGCAGTCTAAGTTCCCTGTGCTTCTCGCCTTCTTCCTCCTCTTCTCTAAGTTGCTTGGTCTTTGGCTCCCCATCTTCCTTGTCCTTGCGCCCGTTTTTCTCCCGTAGGGCCTTCAGCCATTCCTTTCGCCGCAGTGCCTCTTCCTCTAGCCGGCCCACACCGGCCACAGTCGGCTCCATCTTGCCTGCCGACACCACGCCTTTTTTTCTCTGTTGAGGATTTTAAAAAGTGTTTTTATTGTTGGTGGTTGGACTGCTTACTGATTATTTGAAGTTGTCTCAGTGTTAATAGGAATAATATCCAACTGGGTGCACTTACTCATGCTAGTAATCCTAAGACTTTGGGAGGCCAAGGCGGGAGGACCACTTGAGCCCAAGAGTTTGAGGCTGCAATGTGTTATGTTGGCACCACTGCATTCCAGCCTGGGTAACAAACAGAGCAAGATGCTGTTCTCTAACAAAAAAAGAAAATGTGAAATGATATTCAGTGGACAAAGGTCTCAAAAAGGCTGCAGCATGTCAATTACAAGCATATGAGGTACTTGTTCTATTAAAAAAGAAAGGATGGATACAGATGTTGCTTTAATATATTATAAGTTAAAAATCTCCCTTTCTCTAATATTCAAGAGGTGAGGACATCTGAGATGACTAATGAAAAAGTCGAAGGGATAAGAAATATATAAAAAAAAAAAAATGGAGGCTTGAATGAGAGTCTTGGAGAAAAAGCTGCTAAGCAAGGGAGGTGAATTTCTGTGTGCGGTGGAGAGGCTGACCCAAATTAAAGAACACATAATTAGAAGAGCAATTATCTGTGTGATAGCAAACCTTTCTCTACCAGCAAATTCTCACTAACCCAAATGCAGAGAAGAGATAATTGGGCTCTTCTGGGCTGAGATTCTGCAGTGAAAGCTGCATGAAAGGACAGTGGAGCGATGGTGTCTAGAACAGTACAGGCAAGTGTAGCTATGATGGGCTATGTTACAGTGTCTATGATAGAAAGCAAAGATCGGGGTGAAGCACATGACTGATAGAGAAAAGCTGAAAAATGAAACTCTCTGATTTATAATTAGTTTAAAGAATACGTATAGTGGGGCTAAACTAAGTAAGAAAAGAGGTTATATAGAAGCATGACCAGGAATTAGCATTATTTTATATATGAAGTATTACTTTGCATTAAAATAAAGAAGGAGACAAAAAGAAATATTTTTATAGCAGTCCTGAAGCAAGGCTGTGGTTGTCCAGAGATTTAGCAAACCTCTACTCTGCTTTCTGTTTACAGTTAATTGGGATTTTGTTACACTATTTTTCTTAACTTATAAATTGGAAGATTTGAGCTATTTCTGGGCTGTTTTGGGACTACATGCACAAATAGTAAATGAAATTATTCCCCAGAAGTGATTACTAATTTATCAACTGTATATCACAAGATTTTTTTTAAGGTACCTACTTTTTTATTAAATTATTTTTTTCTCAGATTGACTTCTGAATATGAACAGATTCACATTAAGTATTCATAAATAACAAATATTTGGCTTTGTGTAACCTTGAAATAGGTTATTTGGCACCATATAGACAAAACTCCCTGATACTTTGCCTTGGATGTTTCATTGTCATAGAAAGACAGCCCCAGAAAATTCTCTCTCCAAACTTTGGTTTCTGCCAACATTTTATTGTAATGACTAATAAGCAAAAATAAAAATAAAAAAGTAAATCTAGCACAGTAAGACTGTTACTCCTTCTATCAAATCAAGTTATACTTGGTATAATTGCTGTTCTGATGACTGTTGTAACTGTCCTTAGCCCCCTGCAGTGACCTCTCTAGCTTCCAACTTCTCCAGCATTACCAAAATATATTATGTTTCAATAAGAAAGGCATTGATTTGTGAACACATAGCCAATGGAACGTTGTTCGAAAGCTAGGCAGTGGGGCAGCCTTCATTTTCACTTCATTACATACCCAGCATTTTATCAATGCAGCCACATCAAGACCTACATATTATGTGTCAAGAAGGGAGATCCACAGGATATGCCTTCCTAGGATTTTTTTTTCCCTTCTACTTCTTTTGCTTTGGAAATTCACAGATTGGAAATAAACAACATGTGGGTATCCTATATGTAAAAACGAGTCACTCTTTCTATAAAGAAGCTAAAGTGATGGAGCACTTAAATTCATTTTTGAAGAGTTTTATACATTTTCTGAGGGTATTAGATTATGTTTTATCATTTCATCATATGCAGGAAGCCTAAATTGTAGATACTAATTATTTTATTAACTTTTTAAAGGATTTGTATCACAGAGAATATCAGCAAACTTTTATTCGCATATTGGTTTTGGTTTTGTATGTTTAAATGATACTCATTTACATCTTTGCTCTTATCAGAGATTTTTAAGTATTCTTAAATGAGAACAAATTTAAAATAGTTTATTTATATGTCTGATTTGGTGTTAGAAAACTGTATTTTTTAATTGGCATGTACGATATGAGTTTCCTGTTTTGCTACTTCTCACTGGTGCTATTTTTATCACTTTGCCATATTACCTGCTAATAAATATGTAAAAAACTGAGTTTCTTCATCTAAATGAGTCCAAGGAACTTTCTAGTTCATCTATTAACATTTATTTTTAAAAAACATAACTGGGTTTTATAATTACAACTTAAAGACAGTGGAGTTTCCATATACTAGTATGGTTCATATTTAAGATCATAGCTGTTCACTGATTTTTGACTCTACATGATCTTTAAAAAAGCATTTTGTAGCATCAAAGGACTGGATCGAATTAATGATCAACCCATCCATTTATGGGTAAGGGTTTTTTTCTTCATCAACATTCACTACAGTATATGTATTTGAAGCAGCAGGCTGTTTATGGTGCTTCCTTTTAATTCTCATAAGAAAATAACTCTATTTTTTTTTTGTAGAGGTTGCTATTCTTTAAAGTTCTCATTTGGTGGCGATCTGAAAATAAAAGTACTAAGAACTGAAAATCTGTATCAACCTAAATTGGGGACATAGTGGCCCCTTCTTCATAATCTTTTTATTTGAGTCATTTTGCAAAGAAAATAAAGACAAAGCTCATTCTCTATGTGCCTTTTTGGTCTCAGTGCACTTGGGGGGATACCAAAGAGCTCTCAATCAATAGCCTCCTCGATTCCTCAATTACTTTATTCTCAAGGGTCTGTAAAAGAGGTGAAAGGGCTTTAGATCTCTACCCCACAAGTATGATGGGCATTTATAATACATCTCTTGAAATTTTGGCTGAGCTTGCTCTTTGTTTATCAATTACCCATTTAAAGATACAAAAAGACAATGCAAACAAAATAATGCAAGTGAATTAGCCATTTTGCTAAACTTAGCCTTAGGAAAATGCACATCAGTGAAATAACCTACATAGACTGTTTGTTTTTAACCTTACATCATTATAGTACTGTATGTAAGCAATGAACATGAATTAAACCTGTCACCATAGTGCATTAAGAGACGCTTTTAAATTGCATGTTATGTCAATGTTTTGATGCATCTCTAAAGGAAGCACATACCACATGAGAATATGCTCACTTCTCAGAGAATAGAAATGGCATATTCCCAATTTTGTCATTTGGCAGAAAGATAAAACAATTTACTTCTCTTTTTAAATAGTGAGGAAAACCTAAATAACATTTTTCTGAGATCAAAACAGGTAAAGACTTTGTAAATCTTGGTTCTGCTATAAGAACTTGTAAGAATCAGCTACAAGATATTTTGAGGGATTATATATTAATATGACGTCTGTATGAACTTTACAATTTTACTTAGTTATTTAAACACATTAATAACAGTGTACTTTGCTGTTGTTGTTTTTGGAAGGAGATGATGTTGCTGCTGCTCCGTAACGTGTTTTATATAAATGCATGTCATCTGCAATCTCCTAAAATCCTGCTATCAGAGTAACTAAATGAGACACACAGTTTAATCTGTATTGAAGTTTTATTCATTATTATTTATAAATTACTATTTATACTATTTATTCATATCAGTGAGGTTTTTATATATTACATAAAATCCTTTATTTCAAGAAAGCATATAGAAATGTTTTCACTTAATAGACCCATAATCCACTAGCTGTCTTCTTTTAAAATTATGCAATATTTTCCCTAAAAGAGCTTATAGTCAGTCTTGTCCCCAGGCTTTGCTCTATGAATAAAAGAGCAGATAATGTTTCTCTCTAACAATCTCCACATTCCATTGTCATATAATAGAACCCTGAGTGACTCATTGAGTTACTTCCTTACCAAAAGCAACTGATTACATCACCAAAGTCCCCATGGAAATATCAGGAAAGAGTCTTAAAAAGATAGAGCTGCTAAATATTTAATTCTGACTAATAGCTACACTAAGGGAAGACAATTAGCAAATTTTATTAGTCAGGGTTCAATCTACATGACTGTTTGTAAAGATAAATCTTTATGAGATTCCAACTTACATGTTCATGACAGAGTCAGGGCACAGAAGTAACAGCTAAACATCTTCTGTGAAATGCAAGGCTCTGAAATTCTTGAACTCTGGCATAGGTCAGCCACAATTTTTGTTTTAGAGCTAGCAGTGACCTCTACTGAATACAGACATTTTAATAATAAAATGGTTTAAGTCAATAACAAAAGCACAAATTGTATCATTATTCGTGAACATCTTTATTATTTTTTTCCTAATTTAGATGCTTATTGATGATTTGGCCTTTGTAGGTAATGTTTTATTATTCTAATATGACATATTATCATTTAATAAACGAAATGAAAGGGTTATTTTCATGTCCAATAATCTTTAATATTAACATTTTTTGGTAAATATAGCATTCCAACACACGGATAAATATAAAGACAGAACTATATAGAAAGAATATCGTTAGTAGAGCAAATAAAAAGAAATTAATCCTTCTCACTGCATCTTTTTCACAAAAATGAAATTGTTAAGACTATCTACTGTGCTGACAGCACTGTTCCATCACAAAAATTATCTTCTAGACTTATAGGTATGGGTTATGGCAAATATATGTAGAGAGACAACATGTGAACGAATACTAATAGAGAGATTATCTAAACTATATATTCATCATTTTTTTCATGGTTTCATTGTCTTAGGATCCCAACTATTATAACTGCATGGAAACTTGATGATGGACTATAAACAAGTTTATTAATCTAATAGAAAATTTGCTCAGGTTGT